ATTTTTTTTTTTTTTTTTGCTGGCCCCGTCAGGCTAGTATTTCTGATTTGAACTTGCCCTGCACACTGTTTTCACAGTATTTCCAGTATTTCAAGTATTAAGTTATTTCTTAAAAAAATATTGTAAAAATCAAAATAAATGCCTTTCTTTTGAACTTTCTGTTTATCAATGAATCCTGACAAATATGTAGCATGATTTCCACTAAATAAATAAATACATACAAACATACATAAAGCAGCACCATTTTTTTTCCGACATTGATAATAATAAGAAATATTTCTTGAGCATCAAATCTGCATATTAAAATGATTTCTGAAGGATTATGTGACACTGAAGACTGGAGTAATGACTGCTGAAAATCCAGCTTAGCCATCACAGGAATAAATTACATTTTAAAATATATTCAAATAGAAAACAGTTCTTTTAAATTGTAATAATATTTCACAGTATTACAGTTTTTACTGTGTTTTTGACCAAAATAAATGCATCGTAGTGAGCGAGAGACTTTTCAAAAACATTAAACAATCTTACTGACCCCAAACTATTAAAAGTTTAACAGTAATATATTTTTATATTCATCTCAAAAACATTTTTTTTGTATTTCCATTAAGCAAGTTCAATTATTAATCTGATTAAATTGCTAATAATTTAATTAATGATTATATTTTTAAGCAAGAATAGCTGGAACTTTTACAACCATACCATTACAATTCCATTGAAACCTATAAATTCATAAACACACTTAAATGATGGCATGCCATGATTTGTTCGAAATCTTTACCCCATTCTTACTGATTTTTACAAATCACTCACAGTTTTGACAAAGCTTTATTTATGTCAGCTACATAACTTTACACTGTGGATGTATTTCAGCATAATTTGCTGGAATAATAATGAATGCATCACAGAATACATGACCCAATAGGGTAAGTGACATTCCTGTTAACTGCCCCGAAGATCTCACACTGGCCTCAGGCCATCGTAATTGTTAAGCCCTGCAGTGTATCCATGCAACTACCCCATCTCATTGGCAAAATCATAAGTCTCAGTGAAGAATATAAAAGTCGCGGTTTCCATTCAAACTTGATCTTTCTATTTTTCTTTCTTTTTGATGAAGTATTTATTCTAATGAATATTCATCAATTTGACAAAGCTCTGCATGAGTATTATTTAATTCAGCATCCCATTTCATCTTGATTTTTTATTAACTTTACAGTCAGTTATTTATGAGTCAAGTATTTATGTTGGATGATGGGATAGAGATTATAAATCGTGATGTGTTGTGTGTCTTGTGTTCTGGTGTTCTCTTGTGTCATCTCTGTCCTGTGCTGTGCTTTACATGGTCAAATGTGCACTTCTGTAACTAGCGCACTATGATTGTACTGTAATTTGACTGTTCAGACAAGAAACCTGATAAATGGATGTTCAAATTGAAAATAAAAACTTCAAAATCGATGAATCTCAAATTCTTTACGACCATAGTGTTGTCTCCATGATTGGTGTGTATTTCCTTGCTTGTTAGCTATCGTGTGTGTTCATATTGCATGTGTTTTCTCATTGCATGGACTCCTAATTATTCATAGATCAGCTGCATATTATATTTAATATAGGCTTGCATGGTGCATGCTTCAAATTGAGAGCAATTTAGACAGATTTGTAAGAGCAAAAATTTGTACAAAGCCAACCAGTCACTTTACACCCACAATGAAGTCAGCAGCATTGTTTGAAGCTCATTAGCACAATTTAATACTCGTAAAATTAATTGTTGAAGGCACACACTGTGATTTTAATACAACATGAGTCAAAGCCAACACTTTATATGCCATAAAGGTGAGTGAGGGGTATTAAGACCCTCTCAAATGCACTGACTTTACATGGTACGCTGACACTTTCATTGTTACTTAGAAATAATCTTACATTTGCTTTGAACAAGAAAGTTTGAATTGATAAGACGGACAGTTAAGGGGTTCGCTGGGTATGGAAATGACAATTAGCCAATGCTGATAATTCCATTTGTAGTTTTAAAGAAATATCTGATGTGATTAAACTTCCATTGTTGAGCTGGTGGTCACGCCCACACTTTAACACACACTTATGTTGCTTATGAGGATCTTGTTTAAATAAAAATGACTAAATGTATATATACACTTAAAATATTCACTGTTGGGAGAGCCTGGGGCTAGTTGTCACACTTTTTACTTCAGTGAATATTTATCAGTTTAGGTTTATTTTTGAAAGCCTGTTTCTGTACAGGCACATACCTTATAGTCTCGGCTACAAAAATAGCAGTTGAACAATTCCACTGTTATTATGCAAGCAAAAAAAAAAAAGATTCAGTTTACTTAACTCATGCTGGCCTTTTCACACTATATGGGGTGGTTTGTGAGAAAAGAACCTTATTATAGGTTTTTTGGCACGCAGTAAAACAATTAATAAACAGCAAAGATGTAAAAGGTAATGAACAAAAATATAAAATCAAAAATACATAGGACAACTTGTGACAAAATAAGTACATACCTCAGGTGACTATGCACATGACACGTGTGTGTGTGTGTGTGTGTAGGAATGACAGTGAGTGCTTTAAGGGATGGTTCAGGCATGATAATCCGCTCTGTGGTTCATGGCGGCTCGATCAGTAAAGACGGGAGACTGGCAGTGGGCGATGGAATTGTTGCCATCAATGGAGAATCCACCACCGACCTGACCAATGCACAAGCCAGAGCGATGCTACGCAGACATTCACTGATCGGACCTGATCTCAGGTGCTCACACACACGCGCACACTTGCAAGCTTTATCTAAATGGGAACCTAACTCTGACTTCTAGTTTTTATATAAATTTAATGCACATGAAAATTTATTATAGTATATCAAACAAGTGGTGATATTTTTATTTTCACAAAATACGTTTGTTAGAATTGTATATGAACAAACAAGCAAACAAATATATTCATTCATTCAGTCATTCTGAAAGTTTGGGCTTGGTAAGATTTTTTTAAATGTTTTTAAAGGAAGATTATCATGCTCACCAGGGTGCATTTACTGTATTTGATCAAAATACAGTAAAAACAGCACTATTGTGAAATATCATTACAATTTAAAATAACAGTTTTTTATTTTATGTAAAATGTAATTTACTCCTGTGATGGCAAAGCTGAATTTTCAGGAGCCATTACTCTAGTCTGCAGTGTCACATGATCCTTCAGAAAACATTGATGATTTGGTGCTAAAGAAACATTTCTTATTATTAATATGATCAATGTTGAATTCATGTGCTTTTAAGATTTATTTTTGGCATTTTTGCCTTTTATCAGGATAGGACAGTATAAATTGACAGGAAATGAAACAGGGAAAGGACTGCGAGCTGGGACTCGAACTCGGGTCGCCCAAAGCACAGCTACATTGTATGTCGGCACGCTGCCCACGATTCTGTCAGCGCCGACAACAACATGTGCTTCTTAATAGTTTTAAATATTATTAATATGATCAATGTTGAATTCATGTGCTTTTAAGATTTATTTCTGGCATTTTTGCCTTTTATCAGGATAGGACAGTATAAATTGACAGGAAATGAAACAGGGAAAGGACTGCGAGCTGGGACTCGAACTCGGGTCGCCCAAAGCACAGCTACATTGTATGTCGGCACGCTGCCCACGATTCTGTCAGCGCCGACAACAACATGTGCTTCTTAATAGTTTAAACTGTGATACTTTTTTAAGGATTTATGATTAATAGAAAGTTCAAAAGAACATTTACTTAAAAATATAATTCTTGTAACATTGTAAATACTGCCGCTTTTGATAAATTTAATTAATCACTTATGTCTTTAAAAAAATTACTGACCCCAAACTTTTGGTTGTTAGTTTAACTATTTAATATTTTTCAATTAGACTACATAAGTACTTTAATCTTTAGAGATTTTGTCTGTTAAAAGTCATTTCAATTTTTAAAAATTGAAGAAAATGTTATGTTATAGCCAGCAGCACATTTCATTGGTTGTTGAAATTGGATTCTTCATCAAAACAACTTCAGTCAAACCCATTTTGCTTGTGTGTTTTTGTATCAGTGTGACTTATGTGCCTGCTGCCTTCCTGGACATGCACAGGGCCAGCTATGCCCAATCAAAAGAGGAAATAGAATTACACAGAACAGCTACTGTCCAACCCAAGCACTCACAAAAGCTGCCTTTTACACCCCTGTAAGGAGACAGAGAATCTTTTTGTCTGTTTGTTTTCTTGTTTCTGATGGTGTTCTAATGCTTGTTTGCTTTGTATTAGAGAATGCATTTCTGAACAACAAAGTACAGTGGATGGTAAAGGAGTGAATGGAAAGACCCAAACTGAAGAAGAGAATGAAGGAATAGATAACCACGCTCAAATTAAACAAAGAGAAAGCAATGAAAGACTGGAAAGAGACAAAACGGTGATGAATGAAAGACCGGTCTTGCAGAGTGAGAACGGGCAAAGACGAGGGAGAGAAAAAGACAGACGAAAAGATGAAGAAGAGACGCATGGGAAGGATGGTAGTCAGCCTAGAAGGTATCCCATAAAAAAAACATTAACAAAACATCAACACATTCACTTTTAGTATGTTCATGTGTAATGGTGATATGGTTGTGTTTATTGTCCTAGAGTAACATTATTCAGGGCTGGGGGCACGTGTCTTGGCTTCAGTGTGGTGGGGGGTCGTGGTATGGGCAGTCGACTGAGCAATGGAGAAATGAGACGAGGCATCTTCGTAAAACACATCGCAGAGGACAGTCCAGCTGCACACAACAGCACTTTGAAAGAAGGAGACCAAATTCTTCAGGTGTGTGTGTGTGTGTGTGTGTGTGTCTGTGTTTTTATTAAATAGTACCCTTTAACTATTGATGTAATGTCAACCGCCCACTTAGACACTGTCTGAAATTCCAATAACAGAAAAAAATACAAAATTAATGACACAAATATTTATAGGGCAACTGGCAGAAAATAATTATGATCAGAAAATAATGAAAATATGAGTTATTTCCTTGTTTGCACTTTATTTTATATCATGTACACTTACCTGTACTTACAATGTACTGGATAAGAAAGTACTGGATAATATAAGGTAACTACATGGGTTAGGGTTAGGTTTTGTGGTAGGTTCAGAGTTAGTGCCTAGTTGTTAACCAGTTATTGTACTATAACAAGTACATAGTATGTACATGTGGAACAGGGCTGTAAAAGAAAGTATACCATTCCTTCTTTAGTGTCCTTGTTACTATGTAATTACACAGTTAAGCACTGAGTAATATTAATTAACAACATATACATACTATAGGGTCAGGATTAGGGTTAGTTGCTTGTAATTGTGCAAAATTTGCTGTTATTACTAAAGTAAGTACATGTAACATATATAACAAGGGCACTGTTCAATAAAGTGTTACCCAAAACACAACTAAGTACAGTATGTAAAGCAATACAGAGTTCTGGCATGAAACTCTAGATGGCGCAGTCCGATAAGTCTAACTCAATCTGACCTAATGACATCATTATCACATGGCACAGCTGATTGGTTCTCTCCTGTATCGGTAGCCAATGAGCTCGCTGCTCAACATTCAAATATATGATTAGTGCTTGCAGTAGCAGTCTCGGTACTTGCTCTGCCGCAGCAGCAGCAGCAGCAGCAGCGTAGCAGATCTATTCCGCCAAGACCAAATACATTAACATTGTCATGTACATTACCATGCCAATCCCTCCGAGAGTTGTCATGACAGAAATATAGTTAATATCTAGTTTACTTGCTATAAGGGTTTGATGCCATGAACCTCGATTTAAAAATTGAAACTCACCCTTGTTTCAAACCTGTATGTATGAAGTTTTGGAGCGAAATTAAATTAAATTAAATTAAATTAAATTGTTATCATCTAGAAGGTTCAAATTTTGTAGAATTTAGAATTTTAGAATTTGTATGAGCGCTCTGCTTCATTTAATGAACGTGAATGAGAACTAGGACTGTCAAGCATTTAAAAGGATGCAAAAGGGTCCTTTTAATATATACAGTACACACACATATATTAACTTTTATTATATTGAAAAAGAAATCACCTTTTGTCATGCAGGTTTGAAACACCATGAGTAAAAAAGTGAGTGAGGAAAAAAATACAGTCAGATAGTCAGATTGGAATGGGTGATTTCAATCTGCTCTTGCTATTTTTGTGTGAAATATACATTAGAAGGCCTGAGGCTGAGACTAGATAGTGTTGATGAACAGTAATTGGATTTGGATGATGTTTGATGATCTCCATCTGCTGGTCATAATAAGCTAATGCATCACTCCTACTCTGACCTAAATAAACTAGATAACAAGATTAGTTTAAAGAAAATCTGGGGCAAACTGTTTAGCTTGAAAGTAGAAGTGTGTTGAAAGTAATGAGCTACTGGAGAAAGAACTTCACACTTTACATTTTTAATGTGCATGTTGGCAGGTTCAAGGTGTAGATGTGAGTGATTTTACTCATGAAGAAGCCGTGGAGGCGATCCGTAGAGCAGGAGACAAAGTAGAACTACTAGTACAGAGTCCTCAGGTACAGCACAGATACTGTACACATGCACACACATAACCACTTTACAATACTCATACTCAGTGCTAGAATATACTCTAGAGAAAACAAAACCTGAGTACATAAAACATTTATTGCCTCTCTATGTCCAGTTTTCAGCTCCTGACAACTGCTCTGAAGATGAAAATGTGTCCAAATCAAATTCTCCAAATCATCAGGTGTGTTTTTGCTTATGCTACTGTGTTTATCATTAGTCTTTTAGGTGATTTATGTATGCTTATCTCATCTTTAGGATCCAGAGATCCCGAATAATCTCTCCCCAACCTACCCCTTCAGTCCCATCCCCTTTAAGGTCTGTGATGTTTGTTTGCATAGTAATAATCCAATATATTTGTATATAAATAACATATTGTTCCACTACCCTTGTGAAGGTACTCAAAATTATACCTTTAAAAAAAGAACTTAAATGAAATGCTGCCAAATGTACAACATTTATGATAAACTGAAACAGTACTTCAATACTTTTATAACTTTAATGATATTTTTATTGAAACTTGTATGTCATGTATTTAAATATATTTGTAATTACACATTTGTAATAATGAAGTTGCAGTTGCAGTATATTACATGCATTAACTTTGAATGTAATATTGAATAACACGCCAGTCAAAATTATAATCAAGTACCTCACATGTGCCTTAGTATGTTAGTCAACACCAAAATAAGATACTTCTTCTTTAAAGCCCCACATAAGCTATTAAAACATGATTTAAACTGGACTTTAAAGTAAACCTTTTAATTTTCATTATTACAAAGTATTAAGAAACATAGGGTTACACTTTATTTTAAGGTCTTCTTGTTACAGTGTAATTATACATTTAAGTACTGAGTAATATTAATGAACTACATGTACTTACTATATGGTTAGGGTTAGGATTAGGGTTTGTTTTAGGGTTACTTGTATGTAATTATGCATAATTTATTGTCATTATGAATGAGCAAGGACACTGTAAAATAAAGTGTTACCAAGCATAATCATGAAAATGTACTCTCTTTAAGTTCACTCAATTATTAATATTATATTATTTGCAAGTACTGTTTAAAAAAAAACACTGCAAGGTGCACATTTAATACAATTATGCACACTTATTTTTGTCAGATTTTTGTCAGCCATGTTGTAAAATACTGTTGAGGCTGAGCAGTAAAAATGCAATGAAAGAGATTTTAAAAAATAACTTATTTAATAATGTGTTTTCTGACGAATATAATCACTTTTTGATGGTGCTGTTGTAGCGTACAGAAGACTGGAAGTTGGGGAAGCCTCCACATTTAGCTCCCCCCTTCCTGAAACTGCCCTCTAGGCAAGTCGACACAGAAACAGATGGAGTGCAGAGGGTTCCAGAGAGACCACCCCTGCCAGAAGAGGCTGCACATCATCACAGCGAGCAGCAGCAGGCCTCTTACTGGAGTATGTTTAAATGTGTCTGTGTGTGGCTCAGGTTTCACCTACATAAAGGGGGCCAAATGTCCCCTAAAGACAGTCCAACCTGAAATCACCTACATTGTGCGGAGCAGTGAATCATTCCCAACAAGGAAACACATCAAACATATTTACTTAATAAAACATACTTAACATACCAAGCTTAGAGGATCAAAAGTATCATTAGCTCTGAATACAAGTCAGTGCCTCTATTAGTGTGTCTGCTAATGTGTCTATATGGTTTAATCTGGATGTTTTTACATGTTTATGTGTGTGTAAGCAGGCCGCATGCAGCAGAGGTATGGCAGTCTGCCTGGAGAGCTGCACATGTTTGATCTGGACTGTGGCTCACACAGCTCTGGACTGGGATTGTGTTTGTCAGGAAACAGAGATGGAGCTCGTGGTAGAATGAGTGTGTATGTGTCAGAGCTCAAACCAGACGGGGCCGCTGTGGCAGATGGTCGGGTCAGAGTGGGAGATGAACTACTGGAGGTGAGAACGACCTCCTGAACTCTTGACTGGCCAACAGAAACATTTCATTTGTGCAATCAAGCCTTTATGCTGTCTATGTTGTCTATCATTAGAAAGTAAAACCTTTCTGTTTCTGATGAAACACGAAAACAGGCGAATTATGGTCATTTCAACAAATACTGATTTTGAGATTTTTTGGGGGTGGTGTGGGGTGACCAATATTTTTATTCTGGTATCTAAAGTTTGATGCCTTTTTTTTCCTGTAGATTATTGTTTAAAAGTTACCATCAATGACAAATGTGACCCTGGACCACAAAACCAGTCTTAAGTCGCTGGGGTATATTTGTAGCAATAGCCAAAAATACATTGTATGGGTCAAAATTATTGATTTTTCATTTTTGCCAAAAATCATTAGGATAAGTAAAGATCATGTTCCATGAAGATATTTTGTAAATTTCCTACTGTAAATATATCAAAACTTAGTTTTTTATTAGTAATATGCATAGCTAAGAACTTCATTTGGACAACTTTAAAGGCAATTTTCTCAATATTTTGATTTTTTTGCACCCTCAGATTCCAGATTTTCAAATAGTTGTATCTCGGCCAAATATTGTCCTATCCTAACAAACCATACATCAATGGAAAGCTTATTTTTTCAGATTTCAGGTGATGTATACATCGAAAAATTGACCCTTTTATGACTGGTTTTGTGGTCCAGGGTCACAAATGCTTATACTGTCACTGGTAGCTACCATGCGAAATTTGATTGTAACAACATAATATAATTTTATATAATATAATTTTTTTTCATTAAACTACTTAAGTTTAAATGTTGTGGTCATCAGCTATTATTTCTATATTTATTAGAGAAATATTGAGTAATACATATATAGTGAAAATGATTCATCTTATTTTAGACAAATCATTTTCATATAACTATCAGATATATTAAACGCATCAAATGCATTATCAAATTAAATACACATCATTATTATTAAATACACATTTGACAGCTTTATAAGTCCCATTTAAGAGTGAAAGGTATTAGAAGTAAAATAATCAGTATTATTATTAACAAGAAATAAAAGGAATTTGCATTACTTTTTTAATATTAGCCTCTTATTTGAGACACAAAGTAAAAATCAAAAGATGGTACGTAGATTTGCATTAGTCTGTAAGTTAAGGACAAAGTAAAAATGTTACAATTGCCCCCAGTCTCCCCAATATAACTAAAAGAGCAAACCGCAGTGAAGTATGTGTCTTATCTAAGGTCAAGGGTTAATCTTCTGCATGTTTATGTGTGTATTTTGAAGATAAATGGACAAGTGCTGTATGGACGCAGCCACCAGAATGCAACAGCAATCATCAACAATGCTCCAGCTAAAGTCAGGATTCTGCTCACAAGGTGAGACATTTTCATGTGAACGAAGATTAAAGGGATAGTTCACCCAAAAATGAAAATTTGATGTTTATCTGCTTACCCCCAGGGCATCCAAGATGTAGGTGACCTTGTTTTCTTCAGTAGAACACATATGATGATTTTTAAGTCCAGCCGTTGCAGTCTAACAGTCGTATAATGCATGGCAATGGTAACAAAATCTATGAGAGTAAAAAAAACATGCACAGACAAATCCAAATTAAACCCTGCGGCTCGTGACGACACATTGATGTCCTAAGACACGAACTCTCTTCTACATGCATTTTAATATACATAGTTCATTTATATTCGTTTTTTGAAACAAGCAGAAATAAGTAAGACTAAAACAAAGAAAGATATTCTGCACTATTTTTAGGTCTATGCCAACTCAAACACACTGAAACACACTCAAACACTATATACGCATGGATACTGTATGAAACTTGAAATCAAACTAGAAGCCTTTTCACAAAGGTCTCACACTTTGTATTCTACTATATGTATAGTGGGTATGTGTTATTTATTTTAATGCACATATATAATTTTTCTCATCAGGAATAAAGCTGCACAGAAACAAATGACTACAGGACCAGTAAAGGAGGCAATGGACACACACACACACAAACAAATAAACTAAGATACTTCTTAAAACAGTAAAAGACACAATAATTATAGATATCCTTGATTAACAAATCAAATCATTATCAAAAAAGCATTCTGAACAAGTTCATTACATTATATTTGCATAGTTAACTGCATGTTTCTGACAAGTTTCTTACATTTTTTATTTTTTACTGGACATCTTTGTCACTTGTGTTATCTAATAACAGTTTTATCTGTTTAGATGGACAACTGTCCTGTTGTATCTCCTGCCATGCATATTAATAGCATCAGAGAAGGTCAACATTTAGCTTTGTCACAGGTAAATCAGTCAAATCAAATGTTAGACAAAAACACGACACAAAATATCCGCCTGCTTCATTCTCATTCTCTTTATTCTCATGTTTCTGTTTGTCGATAGGACGGAAGGATCAGCACAGAGGATAAACTGAAGTCTCGCTCCTCAGAAAGCCTCAACATCGGGCTTCCTGCTCCAATCAATGCCACATCCAATCATAAGCCCTCCTGTCATCCTGCCAGTCACATGTCCCCCAGCCACTGTACTCCTCCATCATCTGGCATTTCATCAGCTGATGAGAGCATTCGCTGCGGCTCCACAGCCAATCAGAGCACTTGCACGGGGCCTCACAGCACTTCTTACTTTACCCAATGTTCTGTGAGCTCTGACCCCCTAACATGTCCCATCATACCTGGCTGTATAAATACCATTGATATCTGCAAGGGAACCCCAGGGCTCGGCCTCAGCATAGTAGGAGGCTGCAATACAGTACTGGTGAGAAATCATAAATGACACCAAGCATATTAGACTTCACGGTGTTGAAACAGCATCTTCGGTGCAAATCTGAATATCAAATACCACAGCAATGTTATCTGTAGTAGTGATAGTCAGCCAAAAATGAAAGGTGAATTGTGAAAAAAATGACAAAGCATTTATGCATTCCAAAGCAAAGCAACATACACTGCATTCAAGATATCCTTTTATCAGTTCATGCATTGCATTGCCTGGGGATTAAACCCATGATGACCCATAATGCTTTAGTGTTTGAGCTATAGGAATTCTCTGTAAAAGTAGCTCATGTGACTTCAGAAGACATGCAATACCTTTGTATGGAGAACAGACTAAAATTTAAGTTGAGATTTTAATTTTTATGTGAACTACCCTTCAAAGAAATATTACAGGTCAAATACAACTTAAATTGTGGGATGCGTTGAAATAATTTCAACTTACCTCTTAACTAAAAACAAAACAAAAACTCATTTACAGTGGAAGTGAATTAGGTATGTTGACAGATGGGTTTTAAAACCAGAAATATAAAGTTTGTTTGTTTTTAATTTTTTACTATTGAATTATTTTTAGAAAAATGCTTATTATTAGATCTGTAAAGTTGTCTAAACCATCCTGGTTTTGCTTATTTTTATGAACTGAGGAATGGGTCTAAATTATTTCTTTATGTGGCATTCGACAGAAGGCCAGAAATGCTCTTGATAAAGCTTATAAAATATTCCTTTAAATTAAAAATAAATATAGAAGTAACATGTTGCAATCGCCAGAAATCAAAATGGGAGTTCAAACAATATTCGTTCTTTCCCTGGGGCTTTTTTATGTGGAAATAAACAAAGCTTTTGGATTTTGAAACATTTAAAAGGAAAGAAAAGTTATTAAAAATACTGCACTATTTTTAGGTTCATGCCAGTTTGAGTGCATGGTGTCATTAAAGAATGACTGTCAAATTTTCAATTCAACTTTTCACTTAAATGCTTTAACTAAATTTCTTTCTTTCTTTGTCAGGGAGCAATAGTGATTCATGAAGTGAATAAGGACGGTGCGGCACACAGAGATGGTCGGTTGTGGGCAGGAGATCATATACTGGAGGTACAGAACTCTAGCATTCACCATTGAAGTTGTACAGAATGTAGGTTATTGATCTCTTCATAAAGAACTTCCATTGAGCCAATTGTTATCTCCTCCAGGTGAACGGCATTGATCTGAGAATGGCCACTCATGAGGAGGCCTTGAGCGTCCTGCGCTTGAGTCCACAGCGTGTGCGATTGTGTATCTACAGAGACCCTGTGACAGAGAACCACTCCACACACACCCTCCAAAACCACACACCCGAAGACATGTGGGACCTCTTCAGTGTGGATCTGAACCTCAAAACAGGACAGGGACTGGGGCTTCGCATTGTGGGGAAAAGGTAGGTTATTCTAAAGGGATATAATTACATTACAGAACTGCACAGTGATTCATTTGAATTCATATTTGTCTGCATGTCTTGCAGGAATGACACCGGAATCTTTGTGTCTGAGATAACCAGGGGAGGGGCTGCGGACTTGGATGGAAGACTGTTGCTAGGTGACCAGATTTTGTCTGTGAATGGAGAGGACATCCGAGCTGTGTCACAGGACTATGCAAGTGCACTACTGCAGGTGTGCACAAATACACTTCACTTAGGAATATAGTAATTCATGCATTTCCTTCTTAATCATAATAGGGCTAATTATGATCCTCTGTGTGTGTGTGTGTGTGTGTGTGTGTGTTGTAGATCTGTAGTGGGCCTGTGCTGTTGGAGGTGGCACGTTTTAAAGCTTCATCACACTACTCATATGGAGATCAGGTAAACACTTTATACAGTACAACTAGATCATTCCTGTTATGCAGTACCTTTTGAACTTTGTGATCTAAATCAATAAATATGTATGTTATAATTCAAGGAAATTATTTTTATAAAGAGTTCAAAATATGCTCTTGTTGGTAAGAAAATGAACAGAATGACTCCCAAAATAATGGAAATAACGAGCCAAAGTTAGCCATTGCTTAAAGTTGCTATATTTAACCATCTTTTGTAATTTTATCAAATTAGGTGGAATTCTTTGGAGTGACACCAACTAATACTAAAAAAAAAATGGTAACACTAGTATAGGGACCAATTCTCACTATTAATTAGTTGCTTATTAGCATGCCTGTTATTAACATATTGGCTGTTTTTTAGTGCTTAAAGCACATATTCTGCATGACCATATTCTACAGTCCTAATCCTACCCAATACCTAAACAACAACTACCTTACTAACTATTAATAAGCAGCAAATTAGGAGTTTATTGAGGCAAAAGTCGTAGTTAATGGTTTGTTAAAAGCGAGAATTAGACCTTAAAATAAAGTGACTGAAAAGGAAGACCAATTAAACAAAATGATTGATTAAAACATTCTGAAGAAAATACCTGAAATACCTCTTATTATGATACCTTTTATAAATAGACATTTTTTAATGTTAGAAGTTAATGAATAGCACATGGGAAAGTTTTGAAATTATAACTCTGCATAAAAGAATTTTTTTTTTCAATTTTTTTTTTTCAACTGAGAGGTTAATATTTCATACAATATATTAAATCCACTACTGTTCGAAAGGATGGGGTCAGTAAGATTTTTTAAAAGAAATTAATACTTTTATTCACAATAATTAATCAAGCATTAAATTGATCAAAATAGACATTTATATTGTTACAAAAGATTTCTTTCAAATAAATGCTTTTGAACTTTCTATTTATAGAATGCTGAAAAACAAAATTACCAGTTTCCACAAAAAAGAAAGCAGCACAATTGTTTTTCAACATTGATAATAATGTGAAGACTGGAGTAATGATGCTGAAAATTCAGCTTTGCCATCACAGAAATAAATTACACTTTAAAATATATTCTAATATATAGTTAAGAGTTATTTTAAAGTGTAGTTATATTTTACAATATACTGTGTTTACTGTATTTTTTATCAAATCTTGGTGAGACTTCTTTAAAAAAACTTACCAACCTTAAACTTTTGTGTGGTACTGTATGATAGAGATATACTCTTATTATACACATATTTACAGCACACAAACACAACTTGTCTCAGTGGTGTTCATCTCAGATCTAGACGGGGCACGATCTATAAAGTGTCTGTGTTCTATCTGTGTTATGGCAGGTGGGTGAGTTGGATGTCCCTCTTCTCTCCTCTCTCAGCACAGATGATTGTAAGAGTCTGTCACATAACACAGTTATTCACTATTCAATATTCAGTTCTATTCATCAGTGAGTCAATGTTTTCATGTTTTTGCACAGCTGTGGATGGAAACGTGGACATCAGAACTGTCACCGTTCAGAAGGTGGGTTTGTTTTTACATGCAGTAATGTAAGGCATGTTTCTGCAGTAACTGTATGATCCAGTAGTAACCGAAACGGTTGGTGTGATTCTGTCCCAGCATGAATTAGAGTCTGTGGAGTTGAGATCGAGAGGCACACAGGGAGATTCAGTGATTTATATCTCCAGCCTGGACCCGATCACACCTGCAACACACGCAGGACTTCTGCAGGTAGAGAGAATGAGTGGGCCTAAAACCCTTTTTTCCCCCTTTTTCATTATGTTTAGAAAATGTTTATGTTGGAGTCGATAGCTTTGTGGACAGCTCTCCAAAATGTTTTACAACTTTGTAGACCCAAGTTTGAGTCCCGACTCGTGGTCCTTTCCCAGTTCTCTTTTCCACATGGCTTTCAGCAGTGTTGGGGAAAGTTACTTTTAAAAGTAATGCATTACAATATCGTGTTACTCCATAAAAAATAACTAATTACGTTACTTAGTTACTTTTTATGGAGAGTAATGCGTTACATTACTTTTGCGTTACTTCTTAAATCTGGACAGGGCTTGTTTGTTTGTTTTTAAAATAAAAAAGTTCTATTTTTGGCAAATATAAAAGCCTTTTCACACCAAAAGTGAAATGAATAAGCCTCCGGCTGAAGGGAAAGTAAATTTACATACGTACAGTAGAATGCAGAAGAAGACATTTCAACACACTTGAGCAATAAAAAAAGACACACAAATGTTTGTCTTTACTAGTTACTTGAAAAAAGTAATCTGATTGCGTAACTCGCGTTACTTGTAATGCGTTTCCCCCAACACTGGCTTTCAGGCATTTCTCTGCCCCAATAAAGGCAGAAATGTCTAAAATAAATCTAATTAAAAAAAAGAAAAGAAATCGTTGATCATTGTCAACCTCACAATATACACCAAACTATATGTACACCACCATTCAGAATGTTGGTGTCAATTTTTTATTTCTGAAAGAAATTATTACTTTCATCCAGCATGGATAAGTGACAGTAAAGACATTTATAATGTTACATAAGATTTCTCTTTTTTTTAAAATAAATGTTATTTTGAATTTTCTATGCGGCAAAGAATCCTGAAATAAATATATTTTAAAGTATATTTGAATAGAAAACAGCTGTTTAAAATTGTAATATTTCACAATATTACTGTTTTTACTTTATTTTTGCTTTTTTTTTTTTAAACAGACTTGGTGAGCATAAGAGACTTCTTTTACTTAAAAGAAAAATAAATAAATAATGTAACCGTGACAGTAAAGACATTTATAATGTTACATAAGATTTCTCTTTTTTTTTTAAATAAATGTTATTTTGAATTTTCTATGCGGCAAAGAATCCTGAAATAAATATATTTTAAAGTATATTTGAATAGAAAACAGCTGTTTAAAATTGTAATATTTCACAATATTACTGTTTTTACTTTATTTTTGCTTTTTTTTTTTTAAACAGACTTGGTGAGCATAAGAGACTTCTTTTACTTAAAAGAAAAATAAATAAATAATGTAACTGATGCCAAACCTACTGAACAGTAGTGTATATAAACATTTTCCATATAAATTTCCAATAAATTACAATACAAATATGTATTTAGATTTTTTTTTTTTTGTACAGTGATTTGGGTAATATGGTTGAATGATTGAGCAAGGCTAAGGCACATTCTGTGAACACTGAAATTTGTGTAAAAATTTAGAAAATATATTTGTTAAAAAATTAGCTCAATAATTAATTTTTACTGCAATTAACTACAATTCATTTTGTGAAAATGTGCTGAATTGAAGATGTTTCATGATTTTATATTTTTGTATATAGCCAAGATGCAAGGTGGAACAGGCCAAAATTACCATTTTAATGTATACATAAATTTTCCTACTAGATTAAAAAATTTTTTATTAGGTACTAGTTTCTCTAACAATATCTAGTCCTACTACAAAAAAATGTGAATGTCACTCACAGGACACCAAAATGAATACTCCATTCATGGGAATTGCTTCCCCCAAACCCTCAAAAATAATCAACTCTGAATTGAATTTTCAGCTGGGTGCCAGAGTCATCAGCATTAACGGTACATCAACTGAACGCCTCTCAGTTACTGAGGCAAATACTCTCCTGAGAAACAGCAGTGGAGCCGTCACACTGCAGGTGTGTATATCTTCAGACATGTATCAAATCATTTCAGATTCAAAACATAATCAAATGTTCAGAGCTCATCTTGCCGTGAATGTCACACCCTGTGTGTTTGATTAAAGGTGATGCCAAGTGGATGTGCAGATGGAGCTAGTAAAGATCGGTCATCTTTAATTCACTCCTCACCTGGACTCTCAGAGAATTACAATACCCACAATCACCAGAGGTACTCGAAATTCATATCATTTCTAATACATAAAAACATCTCTCATGAAAAAAGAATGTAGTACTATATTTTGTATTATGTTTCACATTGTATTGGCAACATTTTTATTTACTGTTATTAGTTTTTTATTGTTATTTATTTCTATTGATTTGTAGGAAAGTTATATGTAAATATAATAAGTAAATATAATTATAAATGTGGCGTATTTTCATATTTTCATTCAGCAAGGAAGCATTAAATAATCAACAGTGACAGTAAATTTCTATTTAATAAAAATGCTATTATTTTGAAATCAGCATATTAGAAGAGTTCTGAAGGCTCATGTGACACTGAACACTGGAGTATTGGCCAAATTTAGCATTGCCGTCGCAGAAATAAAGGACAAACAAGGGACTCATGAACAACTATCACTAAACAAAAAAAACACAGCTGTGGATCATTCAGGTGACAGCACAGTATTAAGAATCAAGTGTATGTAAACTTTTGAACTATTATTTTCTCGTGGACTATATGTGAACATCTTTTATGTGAAATATCTTATTCAGGTCAGTCCTAAATAAAAAAAAATAACACGCATTTTGTATGGTCCCTCTTATTTTGGTAAAATAAGTAACATTTTGCAGATTCTGCAAGGTGTGCTCTATGTAAACGTTTGACTTCAGCTGTATGTATAGAACTCCAATATGTTTTAGTAAGTCATGTTTATTTCATTGCCGTTTGCTTTAATTTTGCTTTCTATCTGAAATGTTTTGTCACTAAAATACATAGGTCCAGGACAAAAGTTTTATGGGTGGGAACCAATAAGAAGGTTACGTCATACAGGACTTTAGTCAACTATGTTCCTGGTCTGCTGAGGATGGTCCTGATTTATGCTTTCATTTAAGATTTATTACTCGTTTTATCCCAACGCTGCCTTCAATGAGTCCATAAAATATATATTGAAATTGAACATTTTTCCTGAAATGCCTGCTTGTGGATATTTTAGAGCCAGTTTTGCGTGTGCAGTTTTGTAGAGGCATTAGAGTCAGCAGAATTCTACACACTAAAGCTCTGATAAAGGACTTCACCTCCAGGGCACCCAGACTATTCAGACACCCTGTTCAATAGAACTGTTATGCTTGCTTTTTTTAAAACTGTACTAAGAGATTAATTGTCGCCTTGTTTGCCAAAAAGGTGTCTGGGGGAAAAAAAATGGGTTAAATTCTATTTGTCTTTTGTGTGTGTTTAAGTTCTCCTCAGTTCCAGACTATCACTCTTGAACGTGGCTCTGCTGGGCTTGGCTTCAGTATTGTAGGAGGATTTGGCAGTTCCCATGGCGACTTGCCCATCTATGTCAGGAACATATTTCCCAAGGTACACAAGAAAGAGTCTTAAACTAAAAAAGGTTGAGTAAATCTCTTGACTGCAGTGCGCCAAAGAGATCAATACATGTCCAAACACACGTTCAGTTTGCATGTATCGTGGCATGTACACACTCCACCTGACTCACTGAGAAAGGAATGTTATTTGTGTATTTGAGCGTGAAGCGTATGTGACAGTGCTCTGTATCCACAGGGAGCTGCGGTGGAGGACGGCCGTCTGCGTTGCGGTGATCAGCTACTGACAGTAAATGGACAGAGTCTGGAGGGTGTCACTCATTCTGAAGCTGTCAAGCTCCTTAGACAAACCAGCGGGGCAGTTACACTACAAGTACTCTCAAAACAACTACCAACATGCTGATAATGTCACTGTGCTGTCGAGATGTTTCGCATAGACCTCAAGGAGCTGATGTATTACTGATTGTTAGATCACAGATGGAGATTATACAAGCTGTTTCTCAACAACAACAAAAAAGATCCCAAAATGTAGTCTTTTCTAATTGCAAAAATATCTCGGACAACTTGTGTAAAGTGGGAGAAGCCAATAGAGACTAGTGCTAAACCACTGGTTCTCAACCAGGGGGTCTGCAGGATGACTTTTATTAAATTATTTAAATGAGAATTATTCATATTAATATATTAAATTAAATCAAACTAATCTATTACAATATAACTATAAAAAATAGAATAAATTATATAAAATATAAATATGACTTGAAAAAAACATATTTTCCCTAATAAATATTGATTTAATTGAAAAACAAAATATAAATAGAAAATAAAATTGTGGAATATATATATATATATATATATATATTTGTCAAATCGATTAATCATGATTTATCGCATCCAAAATAAGAAATGTTTTTGTTTACATAATATGTGTGCACTGTATATATTTATATGTATATATCAACACACACACACATACATATATTTAAGAAATATATATTTATATTTATGTATAATATAAATCATATAAATATGAATATTCATATATACATGTAAATATTTCTTAAATGTATACATGTGTGTGTATTTATATATACATATAAATATACACAGTACACGCCTATATAATGTAAACACTTTTATTTTGGATGATATTAATCGATTTGACAGCAAACACACACACACACACACATATATATATATATATATATATATATACAGTATATATGTGTGTGTGTGTGTGTGTAAATTATCCACAATTAATTTCAAGCTTCATGAAATGAAACGGTTGAGAACCATTGTGCTAAACTGCGATTCTTTTACACATCAGCTTTTTTTTTGTACTGTATTGCTTCACAACACAGATTTGTACCATTAATGTCCACTTTCAGCCTTTAAACATATAACTGGCATAGTTAGTGCTAAGAGCTCACATTATGCGTAGTTATTCATAAGTGTGGTTCAGTTACACATTTAGGTTGTCAAATCATGCAAAAAAACTATTTTAAGCAAGACTAATATATAGGAAAATTTTCTGACTGTAACTCAATAATGAACAATTATAGCTGTTATAATTATTGTCTGTATATGTTGTCAGATGTATTCCATGTAAGGCAGCGCTTCACTGTTCTTTAACATGACAATCAACATTCATCAGCTCATAGATTTGTCTTTTTCTACTGTAAATTTATCTGTATACAAAATAAATTATTTTATTGCAGTAAATAATTGTGTATTAAAGTCTTCATGTTAGACTACAAATGAAGTACTGAAAGTGCAATACTGAAATTTTATATACAGTATATATATATATATATACCTGGAGCTATGCAGTGAGCCGTTTACCCAGATATATAACAGCAATTACAGTACAGTTGAGCTCTTTTTACCATCTGATCAACACTTGGAGATAATTATAACAAGCAAACACAATATATCTCTACAACATAATTCTCGTTTTAATTTTTGAATCGCACACATTCAGTCATTTACAGGATAATCTTCAGGTTAATATCAGACACTATCAATCCAAAAGTACTGCCATAGAAAACACTAAGAAAGGGGTTATTTATATATATTTATCAGCAAGTATTCAAAGTAACAAAGTGAAAAATGCTAATATGGCAGATACATATTTACACGATGTGTGGTAGCTAGCTGACATGCAGCAAGTACAGTTGGTATCCATGTGGAAGAGGGTGTATGTGTGTTTAAATGTGAAAAGCTGAAGCTAATATATTAAAATGCTTGTGTACTTTGTCATGAGGGTTACACGAGTACAGTGACATTAAGTGCCCTTAATTCTGTTTACCTTTGAGATGAATATAGCTTCAGCGCCATGTGTTAACAGTATGATGCATGTGTGTATGCTTGATGAATCGTGAACTATATAATAACTTCTGTGAAAATGTGTGGTCCACCCCCAGCTCCTGGTCCCTGCAGTGTCCGCTCTGCTGAAAGCAGCTTAAGCTGAGTGATGGCTTTCAGGAAGTGCACAAGTATGACTCACAGACAAAAAAGTTCTGTGTATAGAGCTGATGTCATTCAGCCACTCACATCTTTGTGAAAACAGAGAGAGAGGAGGGCTTTCTGTCTCATTCCCTTCTATGTTTAATTCACTTCATGGCCTTTCCTTTACCCCTGCCTTTCCCCTTCCCAGAAGCCCCTGGTTTCTCTTGCTTGACGTCTTTTGCTGGTTTAGCTTTCTTCTGCTGTAAGAATAAAAAAAAAAAAATCAGGTGAATAATGGTGTAGCATTTTGACTGATTTGTTATGATATTTCGCTTATATGTAGAACCTGATGTAGACTGTATCTGCATTTTCTGTGCGGATTTCGGGGCAAATGTGGAATTCTACAGAATGAATTTACACATGGTAAAATGTAGCTGAAAGCACTACACTCTTATTGGTAACAAAATCAACTTGGCTAAAATTCTGTGGCATAAACTTTGTGATTTCAACAAACTATAACTGATTAAAAGGGATAGTTCACCCAAAATTAAAAAAGGTCATAATTTGCTCACCCTCATGTTGTTCCAAACTTTCACTTTTTCAATTAAAACCAGAGACTGAAGGTTTCAAGCTTCAAAAACAATAGCTATGTTTCCATCACCCTGTTTTAATGATTTTTGACTTGTGCGAAAAAAGGTTTGATGCGAATAATGGGAGATGGAAACGCATTTTGTGAATAAATTCCTCCAAGTGCATCAAAGAAGTCATGTGACTTTACGCTATGGGACGGCATAACCTGACTAACCAGCAGACCGATCTCATTCCACAGCATCTGAAATGTTGTTATGGTCATTCGGAAATGCACGAGCAAAGTCTGTCATCAAAGTATTTCTGTATAACTGCCTCCCAGAAATGTCTTACGACTGCGTTCTCCAAACAGCAGCATCCACCTCCGAAAGCAATGACCGCATTCATTGTGTTTCGTCTGCTCACTCTGAGGCGCAAGTAATTTATTATATATGAAAATGTATATATTCTCCTACTTTTCTTAGTGATTTATAGTGCCAGTTTATCAGGAAGTGACGATTTTGTTCTCTTTGACTGGTTGGATGGAAACGATGCTTGTTCGCAAATGTTTTATGCGATATTCCAGTTTTGCGCATGTTAAATTTGCAACTTTGGATGGAAACCCGGCTAATGAAACATTATCATAAAAGCAGCCACTTTAAGATGGCTTTAAGAAACAAATCTGTTTCTCAACTTTCTTAACTCACTGACTTTGTGAACCGGTTACAGTGGTTTCAGAAGATTTGGAATATAGAGCATGAGGCATATGAACAACTTTTATTGTACTTTTATGCTTGAGAGCTTGAATCTCTTTCCTATACAACTGTATGGAAAAAAAGTGAAAAATTCTTCAAAAATTCACATTTTATTCTTCAAGAAACAAAGGAGGCCACAGGTTTGGAACGACATGGGCATGAGTAAATGCTGACAATTAGCATTTTTTGGTGAACTAATTAACATTTCAATATTCCTCCCCAAAAAATTTAATTACATTTTCTAAATTAAATCTCCTGTCTTGTAATTTGTCCTCATTTGTAAGTCGCTTTGGATAAAAGCGTCTGCTAAACGACTAAATCTAAATCTGACCACCATATAAAGCAATCAAGTCTCTTTAGAAGACAAGGGTTAAACTTGATGCATATGGACGGTTTACAATGTCTTTATGAACATTTCGAAGTGACAAAGGTCTGGTTGCATTGACTTTTGATGGAGGGATAGAACTCACAGGTTTCATTAAAAATATCTTCATTTGTGTTTCAAAGTTGAAGGAAAGCCTTAAGAATTTGGAACAACATGAAAGTAAGTGATGAAAGAATTTACATTGTGGGGTGAACTTAGTGATTAAAGGAATAGTTCACCTAAAAATGAACATTCTGTCATCATTTACTCACCCTCATGTCGTTCCAAACCTGTATAAGTTTCTTTATTATGTTGAACACAAACAAAGATATTTTGAAGAACCAAACAGTTGTTGGTCACCACTGGCTTTCCACAGTAGCGAAAAGAAATACTATGGAACTCAATGGGGACCATCAACTGTTTGATTACCAGCATTTTCAAAATATCTTTTCTGTTCAACATAAGAAAGAAACTTATACAGGTTTGGAATGACATGAGGGTGAGTAAATGATGACAAAATGTTTATTTTTGGATGAACTAACCCATTAAGTGTTCTCCAAAGGAGATGTTATTGAGGTCAACGTGATTGTAAAACTGATGGAAAGTCGAAAAGAGAGACACTGAATTCTTATTTTGATATCTACCTTGATCATTGCATCTGCTGTAACCCCATCGTCTTCTTCCTCTTCCTGGAACTGAGATTCACTTTCAAGCTCTCCTATAAGCTCAGGGTCAACAGCACCTTTACGGCTTTTCTTCACCACTTGTAAGGAGTACGGCGTAAGATGGGATTCCTTATTGTAGGCTCTTGTAAATGCAGCTTTCACCTGCAGAAAGGAAAAAAAAAACAGCTGATGGGGATAAAGTGTGGCATACAGCACCTCCAGATGTTTTACAGTTAAAACAATTAACTCGGACTGAGCAGGCATCTGTCAAAGCAATGAACTGTCAACTGGACCACCGGTTTCTAGTCCTGGAGGAGAACTCTACAATATGCACAGAAAATCAAACACACACACACACACCTTGGAGTCTAGTTTAGAGTAAGGATCCGGCTGTCCGCCCCACATGCTGATCTCCATCATGTTATCAACATCCTCTTTGATGATGTCGTAATCATCCATGAGCTTCACACTCTGACTGGCTCCCTCTGAACCTTGCGACTGAAGAGACTCTAATATTGCTGAGCGCAAATACGGCAGGTAATCCAGATTCATGGCTTCCTTACTACTTAACGTTCTGCAGGATGAGAAAGAGGCAAGATTTTAGGGAAGCATAAATGCAGCTTAAAGAGTTCATACTTTAGACAAGAAGGAAGAAAGTGTGAGAAGTGTTTGTGTTTTCTCACTTTAGGCTCATGTGTGAAGCAAGCTCCTGTATGATGCGCCTGTGTTTGCCAGCTGATGAGAACTTGCCCAACCAGCTGGGAAAAGTCGGAAACTGACTCATATAACCCCGCATCAGCTCCCCCGGCAACACGCTCGCATAAATCGCCTGGGGAAAAAAACAAGATTCATTAAAAAAAAAAAGTTTGTTTTCACTGATCTATGTGAAAACACTTAACCTATGTGAACGGATTTTGTAATATGTTACAAATCAGTGCTGCAGCAGAAATATTTGTTTCATCGTTTCTGCCTCTGATTATCTCAGTGCTGCTGCATCAATCAAAGCTGTTGACTGAGGATTTGTTGGTCAACACCGATGAGAAGATAATGGCAGGAAAGTACGTTACCTGTGTGGGAAGCAGAGACCATGCCTGTCTGGAGCGGATCTGTTTGTCCACTAAATCTCCATCGCAAATGCTGTCTGCTGTTTTACTCAACAACACCAAATGATTCTTCAGATTTCCCCTGATGAACATCAAATGTCACAATTATACCATCACGCTTTCATTTACAGTCAGAATAGACTTAATAAGTCTTGAAATAAATACATGGTGCACAAATTACAAGCTGCAAATGTTATTGTGTGTTATGGATGGTCAGTACAATAAGTTTGCTGACACAAAATTAGGGAAAATTGTGTATACAGTGATAATATTAAAAGTTTAGCTCATCTTTCTAAAGACAGTAAGCCAAATTCATCATTCCAAAGTCAAAATACATCTGTACATTAGGTGGAAATGCAAACCAACAGACCTGACACATTTGTTTCTTTGTTCTCCAAAGAACTTCCTTTGATTCAGCAAATGCAACTTTTTATAGGAAGATTGGGTTACACTTTATTTTAAGGTGCTCTTGTACAAATTTAAAGTTAAGTAATGGGTTAAGTAAGGGATAATGCATGGCTAGCTGTGCATTTAATGATTTTAATGCACGACTTGGAGGCCAGGAAGTGCATTAAAATCGTTTAACACACAGCTAGGCGTGCATTATCCCGCTTATACCATGGTCATTTGCCAGCATTGACATGTTAAAGCTGTTAATAATATTCACAGTGCAATATTTGACCGGAAGGGTAAAAATGACACAGAGTGTCAAATGCTAGCATTCTGCCCGCTTCAAATCAGACACAGAGATGAAATAGTGCGGTAAGATCACATATATTTGAATTGATTATTATATTTGTATGAATTATCGATCAATCGATCGAGAGAGAGATGACAGTTGTGTGCGTTACCTGCGTCTGCACGTCTCTCTACAAACAACGAAGCTGTGTTTAATTACTTCAAAAACAGCGATTACCACCTCGTTGCTGAGGAATATAATGTAGCGATCTAGTATCTAGACTATTTTATTAATAAAAGTCATGGGGCAGCGTTGACAACAAGTTTCTGTGTGTGTGCAGCACAATCTCCGATCTCTCTCTCTGTGTGTGTGGGTTCGTGTGCATCAATTAAAGCAGCGCATTAATATAGAATGGTGATTAAACTGATTTGAAACTAACTGTGCATTAAACGGTTTTAATGCATACCTGCCAGCCAATCAGAATCGAGTATTCAGACAGACCATGGTATAATATTAATTAATAACATGCACTGAAAGTTATGGTTAGGATTAGAGTTTGGTTTAGGGTTACGTTGCTTGTAATTATGCACAATTTACTGTTATTACTATAGTAAGTATATGTATGATGTTTAAAGGGGTGGTTGATTGCGATTTCAGTTTTTTAACGTTAGTTAGTGTGTAATGTTGCTGTTCGATCATAAACAATATCTGCAAAGTTACAAAGCTGAAAGTTCGATGCAAACGGAGATATCGTCTTTTAAAATTCTGGCAGTTTAATGCCTACAAAAACGGCTCGTAAGGGACTACAAGGAGTTACTTCCCGGGTCCGTTACGTGAAGAACCCAGAATTTTACATAAACCCCGCCTCCGGGAACACGCAGCAAAGGGGGCGAGGCCATGCTGCGATGT